ATAATCAAGGAGTAGCATTAGACTTATAATAATAATCAATACTATTTTATCAAACATATTTTCGATTATGACTCAATTATTTCATGCTCAACTACTAATAAAAGGAGGAATAAATATATAGAGGAACAAAGAAATCTAAATAATTAATTAATTGTAATTTTGATAATTTCAAGATTTTACAAGCATCAAATTATAAATAAACTATTAAGAATTAGTTAGGAAATATATTTAAATATATTGTTATCTTGATAAGAATAAATTTTGATTTTGAGGCTAGAATATATAAGTTTTATTATGGATACTTTAGTTATAATTAAAGGTTGTTTGATTGAACCGAATAGTTCGCCCTCTTTAATAACTGATTCAGGATAGAAATTTAGAATAGCGTTTGACTTTCTTTAAATGTCCATCTTTTTCAAAGGGTTTTCAGAGCTTTTTGATTTTCTTATTTTAATTTTGTAATTCTATACTTGTTTATTCATTGCAATATAAAAATATTTTTTGATTTTCTGGAATGTTTTATTGAACATGCTTGCCATTAAGTACTTTCTTCAAAGTTAAAATATTAGATTGTGAATTTTAACAACTGTAATTGGAGGCATGCAGTGACAGCTTAGACGGAATAGGAGAATACATGATGGAGAAGTTGAATTACTATTTAAGTTAATTACAAATATAATAATGGATTGATATGAATGTAAATGAATATTCAAAATATTTTTATTCTTTAGAAAATTGATCTCCTCCCTTTTATAGGGACTTCTAAAAAATTTCAACTCTAATTAGAATTTTCTCTTTTAATTATTGATTAACTCTTTCAAATTCAGATATAAATTTGCGAAATGTTAATAAATATTAGTAATTTCATATCTTAGCAGTTTAATTTCTGCTTGATATCTGGATGTGCCAATGGATTCGAAATTTATCAGAACTTGGATTATATTTGAAGTTTGAGACAAAGAAGGAATTAATAATTTCATTAATTGATTATTAGATTGAGGGAATTTGGTTACTATATATGTTTCTTCTGATATCTCAATTATCAATACAATTCTTTTAGGTAAGTACATGATTTCTAAAATTTTCAGCCCTCAAGCTATATGATTACATTTTTGATGATATTTCTTGGATTGAGTCATGGGTTGTCAAATTTAATACATGTTTAAAATCATAAAGTTAAAACCGAAAACTTTTAAAATCTTTTAAATTCTTTACAATGAAAATTTAGTTAAAATTGCTATTTTTGCAGATTTTTCCTATTCGATTAGTTATTTTTATCAATCTCAGGTTAATATTTAATGATCTAGTGCTAATTTCATTCTACTATACCTCTTCCTTTTGAATAAACAATATTTAAATCATTTATTTTTATTTGACTAAATTTTATCGTTTGCTCTTTAGAATACTATGAAAATCCTACCAATATAGGCCTACCTTTATTTCTCTTTGTCTTATTAGTTTATATTTTCTCCTTTTGAGTTAGAATTACAATGAAGAATAAATCATTATGTTAAATTTGCAAAAACTTAGGTATTCAATTTAAAAATAAATGAATTAATGTTAATAAATAACTTTTAGAGATCGATTATATATTGAAAAATTCTCACCTTAATTCTTAAAATAATTTGTAGAAAAATATCCATTATTGGAAGAGATAAATTTTAATTTACTGAATAATACTCACTTCAAATTAAATGTTTTGGAATTCGTTGAGATTTAGGAGAAGAATTGGAGTTTGTTCCAATTATTACGATTTCATCTTGAGTAATCATTTATATAATTTTCTCTGATTATGTTTTACATTCTACGCAAGCAAATTTTCATCCAATTCTCTTAGATCTGATGAACTCAAGTTTAACGAAACTTTTGATATTTTCTTTAACTAATCTTTTACACCTGACCTACTCATTGTAGCCTTTTAAGAGATTTTGCATTAATATAATTTTTTAAGGCCTAGGGAAATAAATCAACAATATTTTCTAAATATTGTGTGTTTATGTTAATTTATAGCTTGGGTCTTGTGGCTCTTTTTTTGATCTGCTCAAATTTTTCTATTTTTTTCTATTATCTTGGCTTTAAGTTGGTCCTCCCTTATTTAATTAACTGCCAATACCCCTTACTATTATATTGACAACTGTCATTAAATTCAGCCTGAGTAGTTTGATCCTTTATAATAATTATAATAATAATTGATGTAAATAATGTGTCATTGTTGAC